TTATATTATCGATTCAAAATCCTTTTTACTTCTGTAAGTTCAGTAATAATGTCTCCTCTTTCATTTCTGCTTCTCTGTATTGCTGTTCTGAAGATGGGCACGAGGAGAGTGCCCTGCTTTCTTTGGACAGGTACTCATACTTTGTGAGCATGGCACTGGGCAGGGGCAATGGCCTCTGGTCTTTTTGGCTTGTGTTTCCTGCTATGGAACCTCTGCCCTATGAGTGAGGTGAGGCGAAGGTGTTCGGGGCCCCAGTACTCTTGGCCTGCGATGGCCTGGGGTAGACCCTTCAGCATGTGAGTGTGTGGAAAGGGAGTCCCAGACCTCTTGTCTGTACGCACCTGGAATTTAGCCTTTGCAACACAGTGGGGTGCAGGGAGAATGAGAATGCTGGCAGCGGGCCTTCCTGAGGAACTACTGTAGCTCTTTACCTGGAAGGAAGCGGGAAGGAATCTAGTCTTCTTGACCACACCCACCTGGAGTGAAGCTCCTTGTACTGACCTGGGGCAGGGGGAGCAAAGGAGTGGGTCATGGCACTAGCGCCACAGATTCTTAAGGTTTTCATAGATTTTCTTGAATAAATGTCCCTTCATTTCCAGTTTGCCCTTGGAATAGTTAACAATTCATAAATAATTTTTATCAGTTATTCACTGGAAAGCAGGTCCTCCGAGCTCCTCACGTGATGTTTTGGAAGCAATGCTTCATCTCTGATGTTGGTGTATCTACCCAGAGAATGCGTTCTTAACCCCTGGCTTCATAACTTGGGGTGACCACGAACATTTCATACACGGCTAACAAAAGGCAGCAGACTGAGAAAAGGAACTTAGAAGGCATGTGGGTGAGGAATTAATATTGAAGAAAATGTTAAAGTATGAAATGATTGACTTTGATTAGTGAAGGTTAAGGTTATGAAGAGCTAGTATAGGTGTTCATTGAGCAACAATTGAAAAGCTTACATGCAGCGCAAGGTACACAGATTAGATGCAGGAAACAATCTCTTTGCCAGGCTGGTCACTAATAGGTTGCACTGCACATAAAGGTTGCAGAATAGCATTTTAAAACATGCCAGATCTTTTAGATGGCTGATCTCAAAAGCGACTAAAATGCAGCTCCTCTAACACCTTATTCATTATAGAATTTGGCAGGGGCACTTTATTAGAAGGAATTATTAAAATAACTTCAGTTTTGTCCCTTTCACCTACAACGCTGAACCATAGCAAAACACCCAAGAGTACTTTAAAGTTTACAACAGCAAGGTGCAAGTAAACCAAACAAGGTTCTGGGCCCCATGGATGTTTACTTTGTCCTTCCTCCAGAAAGGCAAACCAACAAAAGCAGCTGTCTTCCTACTTGACTTTGTGCAAGACTGACTTAGTCTGTGTTGCTGCCCAAAGATGGGGCACAGGGTAAACAGCTTCATCAGATTCCTCGCAATGATTGGATTCTTAGGGCACATCAGTTTCCTGAACATGGGCAAGCTATTGTTTTCCCCTTTTCAGGATGTGGAGATAAACTAGACTTCAAATATTTATCCTCCTTATCTTGCTTATTCTAATAAGCTTGTGGTGGCATTTCAAGTGAAATGCCAAATCCAGAACAATTTCAATTTAAAGAGATAGCTATTATTAAATGAGCTAATTCTTTTCAAATTAAAATCTTAAAAATATTAGGGGACGTGAATGCTCTTGTTGTTGGCAGGATTATACAAGTTGGCCTTTCCTAGGATTCCCCCCCACCCCCAATCTTCTCATGGCAGTTCAGTGACTTCTTCAATAAGAGGTAGAAGTAGCAGCAGGAACAGTGATACTTTCAGCTTCTCTTACCAACAAAATTAAAATATGCTGGGCCTATATTGCAATCATGATTTGCAAAGTATGATCAAATTTACTACTTATGAATGTTGTGATCTAAGATTGACTAGAACTTGAATTTTGGGTCAAAAGGGGAAACTAGAAACTATAGCTGGTCAAATATACAAATTATGCATACTAATACATATATACACACACACGCATGCCGCAATTTTTAAAATATCTATTTCTATTGTATATAGATTGATGGATAAGACATCTATAGTGATAACTAATTTGAAGCAGTCCTGTTCCTTTGGGGCACTTATACCCGCTGGGAAAATAATGAGCCAGCACTAACACATCGCTGGGTGAGAGGTTGCTTCACAGACTGAAAGGTGAATTTCAGATTGCAGGAGTTTGGAAATTTATTTGCTTGCCATTTCAGCTTTCCAAGCTCCTTGATTATATCTGCTCAACACCTGACAAGGCAAGAACTGAACACAAAATATCATCGATATCTAGATATATTCCATGTGTGATAAAACAAATCACGTAATAAAAAAGTATTTTTTGGAAAGCTTAAGAGCAAGGTCACATCTGTAAACTAGCACAATGACAAGTTGGATAGCCCATGGTTTCTTATAAACTTTCATTTTAAAGGAGTTTTAAAATATTCTAAGCAAGGTTTTATATACATAAAGGGTATCTGAAATCTTTTTTTTTTGGTGGCATATCCATAAAGAAAATAAGGGAAGGAGATGAATACTCGATCTCCCCACCTTCCCGCGATCCTTCTGTTACAAGTGTCTTACCTAGTTAGGAGTCTAAATATGCAATTGAATTAGCTAAGGATTGGAGTTACACAAAATTATTTATACTAACAAGGCTGCACTTAATTAGTTAAATGTTTTAAATAATTTTGAGTCTTACTAAAAATCTGTGAATGTACCAGTATTTATGTTGGTTTCTGGTATGTGTTTCATTCTAGAAAATATTATAAAATGCGAAGGAGTAACAAATTAGTTTGAAGGAAAACTAAATGATTTTTCATATATATATCTATAGATATAGAGATATCTCTCTATATCTATATATAAAATCTCAGGATTTTAGAATGACTCAGTACTTGAGGTCATCTGGTTCCAGTTCTCACCCACTGTGATAAATACTTGGATCAATTATCTTACAACCTCTTTTTGAAGACATTCACAGGCAGAGAACTCAGGGCGCAATGTTTGGAGCATTTACTGGTTGTTTTACGATAATACTTTTCTAACATTACCATAAAACAATTCATGAGGTATTTACACTCAGTTTTTATAGGTGAGGAAACTGAATATTGATGGAGGTGAAGTAACTTGCTCAAGGCCATTCTGTTAAGTGATGGTGTCAGGTTAGTTGGCACAAAATTGGTGTTTTGGATATGACACTATGCTGTGTGACAAATTTACTCTCATTTGACATGATTTCACATATTCTAAGATAGCCAGCATAGGCTCCTCCAACTTTTACTTATTTGGCACAGTTTGTTTCTCGTTACTCTTCTGGTCTCCTGTTCCAGGCACACACACAGCAGAAAATGCCATCATGGGAAACATGATCTTTTCCCACTTTAGTCTGCTCTACAAAAAATTCACAGTATTCATTGGTAAAAAGTCAAACAAGTATATATGGTAATACTAGTCCCTATAACCTGTACTGAACTCTGCAGTTATTAGGTGTTTGTTGTGTCTTTCCATTGATTTTTGTGCACGATTTCAGTTACTATGGTTTAAATCAACACAATTCCAAGTTCAGCTGCGACGGGATATTAACTTAGATGCAATTACCTAAGTACAATCTTCACTGTTAGCTCTTTTGGCCCACAAATCGCTTTGTAATAACAGGTTGTGTGTCCCATGATCAGCAACAATGTTACTTCTTTCAAAGTCTGTTGATGACTGGTCACTGTGCATGTTACTTCATGCAAATTGTGTAGTTGTGTTGCCGTCCTGTGTCCTAGTGATAGAGCTACGTGACAATGTTACAGATAATCAAAAGAGGAAACTGGCCTATAAGACAAAAAGTACAGCAAAGAAATGAAAAGTGAAAACACTGGAAGGGAAATTTGAATTGAATGCAAAGAGTTACAGGGAAAATAGCTGACCATGAGAATGTTCGATAGACTCTAGATTCACAAGCAGAGAAACTTAGTGAAGGTGAATTTACTGGCATACATCAGCAAAGAGGCTGTGACGAAAAGGGTGATGATATCCCACAGGAAGTGAATCTGGCAAAAAAATTTCACACTAACGGAATGCTTGGAAATATAGCACAACATTGAAAGCATGAAGATTAAAAGATAAGTGGATCCAAACTCAGAAGTATGACAATATGCCAGGGCAGAGAAAAGATGCTTGCTCTGTATCATAAATTTTATGAAAGGCAAGCAAGCATTGTTTAAATTCTCTTGATAAGTTTTCTTACAATAAAGTAAAAACTTTAGTTCTCAATATTTGTACTGTTTTAAGTTACAGTGTACTAAACATTAGCTTTACTTTTTCATTTTCCATACATTTATCACTGACGCTGAATCTTTAATATTTTAACATACATTTTTAAGGGTCATGGGATAATCCTATTTTCCCCACCGATTCAGCTTGCAGTCATTGCAGGGATCATCTATGTATTTGTATGTGTGGTATAAACAAATATGAACAGGTTAGAGCTGTTATTTTTTAACCAAAGTTTGTACCTTTTGACCCTCTTCACCCATTTTGTGCCTCTCCCTCATCCTCTGGCAACCACCGACCTGTTCTCTGTATCTATGAGCTCAGTTTTATTTTTAGATCCCCACCCCCAACACTATAGGCTCCTTTATTTCTTCTGGCATTTTTGTGTATTTTTTACATTGTCATTAATTCCTCTCAAAGTCTGTGTATGGTGTTAAGTAGAGTTCTTTCTTTTTTTCATTTCAAATAGTCTCAGTATCATTTACTGAATAGAGCACCTTTTCTAAATGTATTTAGAAAAATCTATTGGCATTATGATGGCATTTCGTTTTTGAATTATTTGCTTGCAAGCTTTTGTGTCTTTTTTAAACCAAGTCTTATGTTCATTTCTCCAAGAGTTCAAATAAGAAATCATGACTTTCATGTTTGTAAGCAGGAAGATTATCTCATGATATACTTTAAAAGCAGATTAAAAAGCAGAAACGTGGCTTCAGAGAGAAAATATTTAATGTTTCATGAAAAAATGTACAAAGCTTTAGAAAAGAGTTATTAGGTTTGTGTACAGTATGAGCACATTCTTGCTTTCTATCATCACACGTCTTACACTTCCTCTGATTCAGTAACGAGGGCCACTGTGCACTCATTCCAAACAGTCTTCTGTTAACACGTGTATTGAGAAAGTCACTGAGAATAGTCCAGAAATAAATTTAGAAATACAGTGTTGTATAAAAATATATTAATCTGTCTACAGGAAATGCTTAGAAATGCAAATCCAATCAATTTTTGAAGAGCTAGACCATGTCTAGAAACATCAATATATATCCTTGTATATTTGATTTTCATTGCATTTTTTTCATATTTGGAGAAAAATATAATCAAACCTTTGGAATGATAGGCATGAAGTCAGCACAGCAGACCAACTCTAGTCTCAGACATAAAACCACAACTTTATCAACACAAAATTTAAAATTTGACAAATTTATGAATTGTTACAATTTGAAATTATATATATATGTGTCACACAAAAAAACTTTGATTTGTCCATAATCCACATGTAAAATAATGATAAACATCTAATGACAAACAACTAAAATATTTCTAAGCTAGCTCTCAATGGGCCTAACAGTGCCATAACAGTGGGCTAATATAGTGGTAATTTAAAATTTTTTTGTATTAACCTACCTAAAATATAATTAGGAAGGTATGCCTCAAAACAGAGAGAAATTAATTTCAAAATCACATAGGGTACTTTTCCTTTGAAAACTGACATATTAGGAATTCTAGAAAAGAAAATTTACCACAACAAAATCACTGTTCTATATCTGGTATTTGAGCAACGAAAGTTCCTCAGCAAAGCCTCTACAGAAACTACATTGTTTTTAAAGAGAGGAAGCCTAAGGTATGGAGAGAGAGTGGTAGTGTATTTTTTTTACAGGTAAACCTGGATGATAAATATCAGAGGCATGCATGAACAAAACATTCTGACTCTATACAAACCAACACTTGTTAGCAATTTTGGATACTGTAATGAACACAATGTACAAAACTCTCACAGAATGAATAAATTTCTGTTGAGACTAAAAATAATGATTACAAATTCTAAAAATAGCAGATAGCTCCATGGTAGAGTCCTACATTTTCAGAAAAAGAACATTCTATTTTTACTCTCCATTACCATAATTTATCAACTAAGGTTTTATCCTATGTACCTTAACATTTTTCATGAGCATAGCACATGTAAGAATCATAAAAATACTGTTTAACCTGGGCATACTTAAACGAGAGACCTAATTTTTTTTCTCTATTTCTTAGTATTATGAGGCCTCATCTTCCTGTATTTTGAATGTAAATATGTAATGATATGCATTGAGCAAATGTAGTATTTTCTGTTTGCCCATCTAACCCAGTTTCAGAATTTCCACATTAAAAAAAAAAATCTGACAATTTTGCTTAACTCTGTATTACTGAAAACCACCAGGTCTGTAAGTCACCGCTCAGAGGAAGGAATGCCTGCCACACCCTCAGTTATACAATGCTCTGACTCCAAGGTTCTACGCTCCATGGTGCTTGTGCTGGGCTTTGCAGTGTGTGGTTGCTGGCACAGGCCAGGAAGTGTATTTGGAAATGCTTGTGATTCTTTTTTTGGTTTGGTGGTTTTTTTTTTTTGGTTGTGGAGCTTTCAATGGAATGAAACATCCTTTGGTCATACACTTGAGAGCAACGTGCCAGCAAAGAGGGACACACCAAGCAATGAGTAACTTTAACTAGCAAACATTCCGCAACAGGTATCTAGGGTTTTCACTTTCCAACTCTAACCTTGGAGATAATTAAAGTAAATCAGCAAGGGAAGGGGTGCAGTCGGTGGGGCTGCCGAGCGCTGCCTCCCGCCTGTCCCAGGGCTCTCTGCGGCCACACCCGCGGAGAGCCAGCTGCACCAGTCTGTCCCGCAGCCCCCGTAGTGAAAGGGCCGAGCTTGCTGCGCAGGAAGTACCTGCGGCAGATGAGCACCTGCGGCAGATGAGCCGAGCCTTTCTACCTTGTAACACCACTGTTTATGTTACCCTATTGCAAGGAGATGGGAAAAAAAATTTAATTATTCAGGACCAAATAGTGACTTGTGGTGAATGTGAATTCTTTACTTACATAAATGCCCTTACGTGAATGCTACTTCTAAAGTATATTATCACTACTCTTTTAAGTTAATATGCAAGTCCTTATGCATTTCAGAAAAGAGATTTTATAACAAAATTAACAAATTTTAGTAATACTTAATTTAAATTAGAAAACTAAGAATGAAAAGATGTTTCTATTTTTGTACCTTGATGATCACAAATTATAATCCAGTGGTACACAGCATTTTGTTTCATTCCTTCCAATAGTAGCTAAATTTGGAATGATAGGTTGACCTGGGGAAAACTTTACTGTTACAGAATTGCACGTACAGGGTCTGGCACAAATAACGCCCCTCTTTATTATTTACAGAATCTTTTACTACAAAATCATAGGCAGGTAATTCTGTAACAATGCCACACTCAAGCACACCATATAACATTTTAGGTGAAATGTTCAAATTAGAACTATAAATTATTATGCCCATATTTATTACCCTGCCAACCACACTCAAGCAGGTGTTACTTCTGCCGGACCCTATATTTAGGTCACTGTTGAGCCTTTATGTGTGTTAATGGACTGGCCAAATACTGTGTTTCTAGAGATCACTTTCCTTATTAAAACAAAATTTTCTTACATATAAATGAGTTTGTGGCATTTGAGACAGTTTAGTGCTAAGAACACAGTTAAACTTTATAAGGTCTTATGATTGCCTTTTGAAGACCAATTAAAATAGCATTCTTGGAACAAATCCTGAAAAGTTATTTAATTCATTAATACATCCATCTACCAAGAAAAACTCTGGATAACATAGGAATTTGAGAAAGAATGGTACAGAAAATCTTCTGGGAAACAGCAATTACAAACTGTCCCAAACCCTGAAAGAGTGTATAATGAAAAATCCAAAAAGCTAATCTAATTAAATGGATTTAAATTTTAAAACCAATAATCACCAGGACTTTTTGGGTTCTTTAGTTATTATATATAACTACGAAAGATGGGTTTTTAGGAAAACTACTTTGAGAGACATGGTAGATGAGCAGACTCCGCGGGCTCAGGCCCTCCCTAAATGTGGATCTGTTAGGCTTGGGTAACTGCTTATGACTTGTTTCTCAGTTTCCTCAGCAGTGAAATAAAAAATAGTGCTTCCCCCTCATAAGGTAGTTGTGAAAGTTAAAGGAGTAAATACATATAAAGCACTTAGAAAAGTGCCAGGCACATAGTAATCACCCAATAAACTTAGCTATTATCCTTACTGCTTTATTTAAATACTGCAAAGGCTTAAGAAAGCATTCATAAAAGGAAATGAGTACTCTTAATTTCTCAGTTTGTTTTCACTCTTCTAGAAGTGCCAAGGACTTAGGAGACCTATGTTCAAAGAAATGATCCATCCCTCACTACCCTTCAGTTATTCAACAGCACTGGCTGAACAAATGCTCACGCTGGACAGGGCTGCAGCATCAGGCATTATCCTGGGAGCTCTGATCCTGACATGTCACCGAAATTCCAAAGCTGTTTCCGGTTCTGCAAAATGGCCCTAACATCTGCTTGTCTGATTCAGCAGGTTACCCTGAAGCTCAATCGAGGCAAAATGCATAGAAGTACCTTGAAGATTCTGTAGAGCACCGTCAGAGTACGTTAGGAGAGTGTGGTCTGGGGTGAGTATGCCGGGGCCCTCTCAAAGGAAGTTTATTACTCGTCGTGGCAGAAGGTCTTTAAAATTTTTAAAAAATAAAACTGCAAGTATGCTTCTTTATAACTATTATATCACTTATAAAATAGTAATATCCTTTATTATAAAACTATTTCTTTCCTTGAGTCCCAACTCTGTGGAGAATTTAACATCAAATTGTTGGTTTTGTCTTGAAAACCAACTTAAGAAAGTTTCTTTTAGAACTTGTGGTTGAAGAGACGTCAAGCCATGTGTATATGGTCATAAATTATTATTAACTAAGCCAATAATTAGCATTCTCATTAATTACTAAATGCTTCACAAACACTATTTCATTGAATCTTTACAGCAACCCCAGGAGGCAGGGAGAGTGGCCCCATTTAAATAACCAGTTAGAAATCCAATGACCGCAAAGTCCCACTCTTAACCTCTACATTCCACTACACAATAAAAACACCAGAAGCAGCAGCAGCCATAAACATTCCTGTCTTCACCAAAGCACATATGTAATCTGGTAGATCTAAGAGACCTAAAACTATGTTGTCATCTTTGGTAATAAAAGTAGCTTTAGAAAAGGTATCATATGGTAAGTGCTTATTATTCAGCTCATTTAAAATTGTTAAAGAACATTTCCTGTTGTTTTATTTTTTTTAAATAACACATTGCTCATTGAAAAAATACAGGAAAATAGTTAAAATAAAAATATTCATAATTCCACCATTCAGGAGAACCAATGTTGACATACTCTGTCTGTATATATTTTTATGTAATTGTGAATGATGGAATTTAGTTGATTTTTGATGATTGTCCTTAAACATGATGCTGAATACGATGGCTACACTGAACTTGTTTTAATTGGCAGATACAAGCTAATAGTAAATTTTGTGCAAGCAGAAAATTATGTTACAAAGTATTATAAATATCTTCCCCAATTTTTCAACTATAGAGAAACAAGCAGAGAGTAACTTATTTCAGTGGTGTTAGCTCAAAAAACATATTGGCCATAAGAGAAACTTAGGTGAGAAATTCCTGAGTTTATCTTTGTATCTGTTTATGTATATACATGCACTCACTCACACATATTAAACCCCTTTTTTAGCTGTAAGATTTACAGCTTTCTACAGGCCTGATAACAAATATATTATTAGACCCATTAGGGAGAAAATTGGTTTTATTTTTTAGTCACTGAACTTTGCCAAAGTGACACTTATGGGTGACTAAACTGTAAAGTATTCCCTTGTGCATAGTTGTTAAATATTTGCTTGAGACAGCATATTCAAGATAAATAAAATTCGTTTCAGGGATCCTATCAATCCAGAGCATAAATGTAGGGGGAAAAAAGTGAAATGGTATCAGAGAGTGGTAGAAAAAATAGTGACAAACCAGTAGGATAATTTAGGGCAAGGATTCCAGGTATTACATCAAAGTGTTTGTAATGCCACACTCCTGGCACTTTGATTAGGTGACTTATACTACTGTCATTGGATATCATTATTTATGCATGAAAAAATAGCAAAAGTTAAAAATACAGAAGTTCCTACAGAAAACAGAAGGCAGACAAGGATCAAGAAATTTTTTGAAGTAATCTTTCTTGTACTTCCTCTTATGTGACAGATGTGTTAGTCATAAATTCTATGAACCTATTTATATTGCTTTAGTATAATTTACAAAAAGTTATACTAATTATATAAATATTTTGACTGTAAAAAATAATGCAGACTGGTGGATGGGTAAGATTAAGAATGTTCATTAAAACTATATTTTGAAAGTCAAAATGAAACACTGTCTAGACAAATGAAACATTAATAGATTCTAAGAAATATTTTTGGATTTTTAGTGTACATAAAAATGCTCACCATATGTGTGCAATATTGAAAAATTAATTATCAGATATACTTCAATTAGCAAGATAAAATTTTATAAACTCCTTTAGAGAGTGAAACTGTTTATGTCCTTAAATAGAAAAAGATAAAACCAAAAGATTCTCGGCCTATCCAACTGGAAATGAGTAGTATAATAATCAAATGATATTAAAAAATGACTATGGCCTCTTCTACGTAAGAGAATATTAATGTTATACACCCTTTTATTACAAAACATTTTTCTTGGAGAGGAAAGATTTATGAGGTAATTACATATGATTTTAAACAGAATTCTTAACATTTATACCTCTTTCGATAGCTTTAGCAGGTTACAAATTCAAAGTCATGATCTGTGCATTTCCTTACTTCAGAGATTTAGGTCACCTGAATAAAAGAGAATATTCAAAACTATATTTCAAAAAAGATATAAGAAAATAGTCAGATGGTGCTTAAAAGATTATACTTCAAACCTAGCACTGTTTTTGACGGGAAAGGCATATGCCATATTATTTATAAATATTTATTGAATATCGTTCACCTGATTTTAAAAAATCTTGTAATATGATTAAATCACAAACATATTGAATTAGTTTTAGTAAAAATAAGAATATGCTTTTAAATATTTATATAGAGAAATTATGATAAAAACTTTCAATATATTCGGGGCTAAAAAAAACCCCAGTGTTATCAAATCCCTGTATATTTCAGCCTTAATATTTTGAAGAGTAACATATTAGGATATATTATACATATCTATAGCATGAAGGTGCAACACATAGAAATTTCAATTTAAAGGTTTAAAAGTGATTTAAAAAAAAATCATAATAAATGGTCGAAACTTAAATTCTGAATATGGGAACTGAAATTACCAAAACCCAACAAATCTGCATTTAATGTTTACAAGTAAAATGTAAATTTCTAAAACAAACATACCCATTTACATCATTATCAGCTGTCACAATTCTTTATCATTACATAGTATCACAGTAATATGTCCCAAAGTCCCTTGGTCCTTGGAAGTCCTATTTCTGAGGACTCCTTCATTCTCTGGTAAGACTGCTTGTTCAAAAAACAGTTAAGGGAGTGAGTCTGTGTGTGTTTAGAAACTTTTCTGTATAGCGTTATAAGGCATTAATCATGGTAAGTTAGAATAGCAAATAATATAATAAAAATAGATACAAATTCTCTTTTCCACATATCTCAACTGAGAAAACCGCAGAAGAGAACAAAGACCACATTTACTGCCCAGGTACTCTCAAAGCTTCTACTCTGATGAAGGACTTTCTGGGGAGGAGGAGGCTTAGAACAGACTGTATGCCCTAGACGTCAGGTGTCCTTATAACCAGCTTGACTGAATCTTGGGCTCTCTTTAAAGTTATTGTGAAATCTGCACATTCAAATGTGCTGCTCACTATTAACAAATGTAGAAAAAGTGAGTTAAAATATTTGGTATCGTTATCAGTAATCACTGCAAATTATCTCAGGATAATATTCCATACTGTAAGTGCGGACTTAAGTCATGTGGCAATAGCAGCATAGATTACATCATGGTTCAGGTGACGGTCAGTGACTTAGCTGGTACCCAGCCAGAATGAAGGAATTCGTTTATAATAAATAATTAAATAAGGAGCAGAGCTGCGCTTTAATGTCAGTTGCTAGAACTGAGCAGTGAGTTTCTCGGGGTCCAGAGGCGGAAGTCAAGTTTCTTGTCATGAGTTACAGTGGCGGCGAGGAGGGAGGACAGGCGGCCGTGGCCACCCGGCTGCTAGCCGGCTCGCTCGCTAAAACACGTACTTGAGCTCTACCGGAGCCAGGCAGCCCTGCTGCGCACAAGTTATCTGCAAGGGCTGACTGAACAAAATCGCCTTCGTCATACAGGCGCCGCTGTCTGCGCTGCAGTAATACAGAAACACGCGGACAGATACGACGGCTTCAGGGGACGAGCAGTCCCCAGGAACCTGCAGCGAGATGGTTGGCTGGTTGGAGATACTCTCTATTTCTCCAGATGGTACCTGTCCTTGAAGAAGCCATTCATTGTCTAAAAAATACAAGGTAAATTGTTCAGACTGTATAAGAAAGATAAAAGTATTCAGAAACATAATATGAAAACTACAAAACAAGCTAGGGTCTACAAGTGCTTGTATAACTCTGCAGTGACTTACTTGCAAAATAAGACTATAATAAATTATTGACTATCAAAAGGTAATAATCACAAAATAACACTGATTTTTTTTAGACTTAAGTAACATGGCATATATTACTCTAATGGGCTAAACAATGTAAAAACTAGAAGATTTTGTTTACCTTTAACACATAAAACTTTTCCAAGACATAAATACATATGTTATCTATATATCTACCCATATAGATATATATAACAAAAGTTTAATAAACCATTAAAAACTTTAACCTTTTAGTATTTAAAAATTTTTAACGTCTTTATTCACCTGGTGCCTTCTGTTAGAGGAAGCACATACTTTCTTGGAGACGGTAGCTTTAGAGGGGGTTGGATGCTAAGAGCCAGCATTTGGTAGGCACAGGGTGTGCTTGCCTGCCTTCCTAAATAGAATGCAGTGAAATAATCTAATGATTTGCCAATGACTCGGGCCGTCGGTACAAAAACTGAGCCCCTACTGAGTGGTGATGGAACTCCATGCCTACTCATTAGCGTGCCTGTCTCTTTTTGACCTCAGAATGAGCCAACACTCAGAGCACCTGTCTCTGTTGGTCCTCTGCATCTTTTTAGTTTACTGCTTCTAATATTCTGTTGACTGAAAAATGAAATTTGAGAAATACATGTCAAACAAGAGTAAGGAGAAGGTGGAAGGTGAAAATCTAAAGAGTTAAACTAAGTCCAGAGTTTCGAACAATTATTAAAAATTATCTTTAAAATTCTGTGGCCTTCTTTATTTCTGGACTGAGGAGTATGTTTTATTTTATTGAATGTCTGATGGTGAGGAACTTCTTATGTTTTAAATCAAACAACAAAGTAAACTGGGCTGTTTTAATGTCTAGTTCTGGAAATAAAACATAGAAAATGTTTCTTTAGATATTTTTCAGATGCGTTACACATGGGGTTTGTGAAGTTATAATATACTAGTTGTGCTTTTATGCTGCTTTTCTCTTTGGCTTAAAACCTTCACATATGCTGAAAACTTTAAAATTATACAGACCAAAATTTAGTTAAAAATAAGTGGTTCTCTCTCTCTCAATAACTGGCCAAGAGAAAAAAAATGTTCTTTATCATAAGTGTACACATGTACCCTATTTTCAAAATAATTTTCAAAAATCCTAAATTATTGGAATTCTTGTATGAAACTTTATTGGCTCCCACACAATAAAAATGGGCAAGTGATAAAATAGCAAAGAATTTGCGCTACAGACTCTTTCACTTTCCTTTAATACTATCCATATTTATATTCTAGTGACTCAGTATTAATTTGTATGTTTGACAGTTATAGCAAACATGCTAATGTGTCATATTCTACTTTAAAAATTCATATCCCGCTCTTTAATTTCACACAGAGAAATGAAATTAACAGTGATCCCCAACGGATGCAACAGTGCTGGACGAATGGACCTAGGCAGAAGGGTTCGACAGGCTGCCGAGCACTTGGTCTGACCCTCCGGAGGATGAGGAGTGGCCAGGGTTTGAGGACACTTCTGCCCACAGAGCCAGCGCCACACGCCCTCCCGGCACGGCATGGCTCAGCCCTCTCCTGGGTGCGGGTTCCCCACAGGCTCAGTCACCCCAGAACCAGACTTCCAAATTCTAACCCAGCAGTTCCTCCTGGCCAGTCCACCAAGATCTCTCTGATCTTGTGGTGTGAACACCAAGTGTGTCGTTGCAGGACAGAGGCTGCCACCCTGAGACGGCCAAGGTAGGAAGGCCCAGAGCCTGGGTCTGGGGAATGGACAAAAGAAAACTGTGTGAGAGGGCAGGAGGGAGGAGGGGCCGAGGAGGAAATGGAAGACTGAGTGAGAACATGTGAAAGGGCGTGGGAGACCAGGACAGAGGAAGATGACGAGCGACGAGAAGTCAGAATTCAGTTCTGGCTGCCTAATATCTTACTGTAAAATTAACGTCCAGACTATCAGATGCGGGAAAGCCCTGTTAGAAGGCAGGCAGGATGCTGTTTCCTTACTATAAATTAGTAAGTTCATAACTAATTGAAAAACACATTCAAATCTTTATATAACTTACAGTAATTAAATACTTTGAGAATTGGCTCAAGCAGAAAGTGTTCTTAAAAGATCGCAAATTGGTAGACAGTGAGGACAAAGGCTCTGCCTGGATTCTGACTGAAGTAATTCATTTGCATTCAATTATATATCCTCCTGCAATGTTTATTCTTCTGCTTGAATGGCATATTTTTAAAATATAGCTTTGGAACCCATTTTCTTGCAGTAAGCCAGTAATGGAGTGTAAATTTACCCCTGGCATTTCTAAAGAAGAAAATGCTGCTTCAGGCTTAATAACTGGTAAGTTAAGTCTTAATGATACTATTATATTGAAATGAAATGAACAGCAATTGAAATCTCTCAAACACTTGATAGGTGCTATCTGGAAAAGTAAAAGATAATAAAACAGCCAAAGAACTGAATTGGAGGAGATTATGTCAGGTTACTTCAGTAAAAACAAAGCGATGCTTTTAAGAAAATCATACTCTGGGGGAAAATCAATTTAATACTTTAGAATCTGTGAGATTCTATCACGGCGTTACTGAAAGGTACAGCAGTAAACACAGTTAATACTGGACCAGGATTCCGAAGGCCTAAGTTGATGGCACATTACTTAGCTGTCTGCCATGGGAGCAGACCAGCTTATTAGCACTATTCAGTCAGTGCTGCCCTGCACTGCCTGCACCCTGGGGCTGCCCTTGGCCAAGCAGCCTCTGCGCGCACTGGCCTGGCTTTCCACTCACGACAGCTAGCCTCAAGCTGGTCAGCAATCACACTGTGTTTGCCTCATGTACTTACCCTTCTCTCCTCTCTCAGTTCATGGTCTGTGCTCCCCAGGGTACTCAGAAAACAGAGGCATCGGGAAAAAGCTTCCACAAGCACCTTCCTCCTCTGCCACCCATCTAGACCTCTGGGCCACACAAGGGGCCTTGTCTCCTCATTGTGCAAATGTCCACATTCCTGGCAGAGGCCAGCTTTCTACTTGTACACTTGGTCCCGTCCCCTCTCAAATCCTAAAGGATACTCACCCCACCACATATCAAACTCTCTTCTCTGCTGGATCTTCGACACCGATAAACATGCTTTTCTCTAAGCAACACTCCCCTTTCTAGCAACTACTCTATTTCCTATTAATTTTGTAGCTAAACTCCTGAATTATCTGTATTTTGTTTCTCTAGTTCTTTTCTTTCTATTCTTTTTTAACCTCTTCAATATCTCCTCCATCACTCTGAAACAGCTGAGGCTGAGGACATCAGCTAACTCTATAACATTAAATCAATGATCAATTCCTCATCCTTATCTTACCTGGTCTATCAATAGCACTTGACACGGCTGGTCACTCACTCCTTAAACCACGGGGTAACTACTCTCCCGGTTGTGCTCCTCCTTGCTATTTGCTCACCTGTCTCCTTTTCTGGTCCCCTCGTCCCTCTGCACTCCCACTGTTACAGTGCTCTGGACGGTGCGACTCCAAGGACAGTCCGTGGACTGGTTGGTGCTCACCCAACAGACCAGGGTTAAATCACACACAGAAACTGAGAGTAAGGTTTAGAAACTTTTATAACATTCAGATGTGTAATTGGTGGCTTTGAACTTCGTCTTTTTAAATAAATGAAATTAATTTTCAGGGCTAATCGTCCTAGAGCTAGTTTGAGAGGGAGCAGCACAATGAAAAAGACACTACACTAAGAACAAGCAGAACTGGGCTCAAATTCCATTCTTTGACCTAATTCAATGTATGCTCTTGAGCATTTATGATAATCAGCATATTAAGCATTTATTTTAATCACTATCTCTTTGAGTCGTTAATGTCCCCATAATATATAGTGCATGTTTTCATGGCTTTCATATTCGAGGACCTATGATTCTGAGACTGGAGAAGTCTGCCCCATGTGATGAACTTGCCTAGCAGAGAATGGGGACGATTATGATTGAGTTATTTTGGGTAAGTTACACTGTTCTTTAATAAAAGAGAAAGAAGAATTTCTAAGACTGAAGAAAACTGCTAAAGCTGGGTTAGATCTGGCCCTATGACTTCCGTCAAATCCTGCCCAACTATAGAGTAAAACATCATATACAAATGAGAAAGATTACTAAACATCAAGAACTTATGAACTATTCGCGAGGTTAGTCTCATACCTTCAGCTGTCAGAAACCAGCAACTGGGTGCTCCTTCAGTTAGCTTTGTTCCTGGAGGGAGGTCCAACCTGAGCTTGAACTGAAGAGTCTGACCTGGAGAGGCAGCCACTGGGGCAAGTCTGATGCTTGGAGCTGATCTGGGTAGTTTGGGCACTGTCTTCTGGTTTTCTGCCGGGGATGGGCCATCTACGACAGCATTTCCATCTCTGAAGACCGGGAGCTATGAAATGAGAGAATTTGTTTATTAAAGCACAGGTACTTTAAAGTAATTATAGAGTGAGAGAGTTTATTTTTAGACTTCAGTCAAAAATGAGGTTCAGGAATATATTTCATTTTGGCAGAAAGATTACCAACACTTAGGAGTGAAACAATTAAATAATTGTTCAGTATGTTTATAAGTGACAGGAAATTAAAATAAAACTAGGAGTGAAACAATTAAATAGTTGTTCAATATGTTTATAAGTGACAGGAAATTAAAATAAAACTATCAATTTCAATGGAGTGGATATAATATACATCCTCTTAAAATTTTCATTGTGAACTGTATGATGTCACTTGTATCAGAGCTCTATGATGACAGAAATGACAAATGATGATGACAATCTTTTTATTTTAAAATATATCTTGGAAATGCCTAGCATTTTAGAAAAAAAAACTTGCATTTCTTTTTTAGGCAGATGTGATAGATCAAGAAAGAACTTAAAATTTATTAGAGACCATGACTATATCTTTAAAAATTGATTAGAACTCATTTTTCTTTCAATCTTATTTTCAATGTTTTGAGAAATGTGGCTTCTACACTTCTGTGGAAGATTATTTCATAATGAATCCACCATAGTAAACAAAGATTACACGTTAATCCAAGAATCATTAAAAATAAGACTAAACAACCCACTCCACATAGTATGTGTGCACAGCATGTGTCAGGAGGTGCACATATTTATTCGTGTAAATGATTCATAAGTTTTACTTATTTTTTATTTTCACTGTTTATACTATTGCAGATGTCCCATTCCCCCCCTTTACCTGCATAAAGACAGATGACTCTTCTTTTTGCCTTTCTGAAAGTTCAAATAAAATTCTTTCCAACTTTCAGTATCTTTTTCAAGCACTCTTAATATAAATGGAATTTTTTACTTTAAAACTAATGATGTCCTTCAGACATTCACTTACTACTCTACCTACGCTTCACTTTCACCACCAGACAGCAACTAACCAAAAGTGCCTGTCAGTGCTGTGAGGATCTTAGAATCATTCATAAAATGATACCTTTTTAACTTACACTTTAGGGTTACTTACCACAGAAATTGTTTTTGTTTCTAAATCCATCACTTTAATTTGATGATTATTCGTGTCTGCTACATATAATAACTGGCCATTCTCTCCAATACACAAGCCTCCTGGTTCATTAAAAGTTGACTCAGTAAAACTGGAACTGACATTACTTGCATCTCCAGTTCCTGCTAATGTTACACAGTTTTTTGTTTTTGGATCCACAACTTTAATCTAAAAAAGAAATAATAATAAATTATACACCTGAGGCTCAATCTCATGTTTGTAGGATGGAAAAGTACACTATCAAGCAAGCCAGAGAATCCTACTTGTCATTAATATTCTTTAAAAAAAAAATTACAGAAAAAGAAGAGACACTTCCATATTTTCTTGAAAAAGCCAAACATTCAAATTATGGCCTAAGGAGAGATACTCCATTCTGAGTGCTGAAAACTATGTAAAATCCCCAGTTACATCTTGTCCTCTGGAAGCAATGTTTGATGAAATTATTTATGAAATTAAAAAAATTTCAAAATGTTATTTTTTCTTGCAATGGGACACAGTTGAACTGACTTTTCTCATGCGCATGTAACACGGGCTGAGGATTTGCTACTTATGTTAAACTTAACGATTTCTGTTCTTTCAACTGTATTAAATTTATAGTCTCATCACAAAACGTTTTCCACTTTTATAAAAAATAAAAATAGAAATAGTTGGATAGTCAATGAAATGCTCCTTTTAATTCCATTTTAATGGAATTATTTGCTAATAGGTGCTGCAACGATGCAACAGCTCCAAAATGTTCATTAGTTAAAAAACATTAATTTCTGTGCTACCTGCCTTCTCCTTATTTACTGAGTTTGTACTAAGCAGCTTTGATAGGCTGCAATGTGCAATTGTGGCTCTCGCCTTAGGAATGCGCTTATTAGTCCTTTCCCGAGCTCAGAGGAGCATCATAACCTCTTTGTAAAGAAAGGACCAAGAAAAGAACAGAAAGGCTTATGTGTAGTTGTCAAAGACTGTTACTCCCCTTTGTATTTTAGAGTGGCAACTGGAGGAGGCTCACAGATTTTTCAGCATTTTAAATACCACAGATGAAAAGCAAAGTGTTACATAATTCTGTCAGGACTCACCTTGTGATTATAAGAGTCTGCCACATAAAGTAAATTCCTTTTCTTGTCCCACGTTACTCCAAGTGGGTGCTGAAGCTTTGCACTGATTCCTACTCCATCAATGTCACCGAAAGCAAATAAATTCTTTGTTTTAAAAAAAGAAAAATACAGCACGTATTAAAATTTTTACAGTGTTTTGTTAGCATATACAGTGAAAATTAAGATGACTGTACATGCTACTTAAGTTAAAGGGGAAAAGATCTAATTTCCTATAAACAGAGCTGGGCATTTGATTCAGACAGGAAAAACATGATAGAATTTTGAACCTGTACTAATCTCTGGTGTTTAGTTTTACAGACAATAATCACACATCTGGTCAGGAAAAGGTCAGGTCTATCAACCTGATCCTCTTTCCACCATCCTGCCTAACGTGTAATGTACATTTTCCTCTTCTTTCATTAATCAATATTTTATCCGTCCTCTCCTCTCTGGCTTTGACATTTGTCTATAATCGAGGAGAGTAAGTTTACTTTTCTTAGCTGGTTTCGTTTGTGTTTCTTTATATGCACATTTCCTTTTGATTTGACTTCCACATTAACCTACGGACAGGCCAAGAACTCTCTCTCTTTCTCTCTCTCTCACATTTTATGAACTATTCAAAATTCAGAAAACTGCAGACTTGGTCGGCGGTGGGCACACTGTGCAGAGGGACCTTCATTACCGTGGGGTCCCTTTCTCCCCCGACAAGGTGCTTCACAGCCCCGTCGGTCAGCGAGACGGTCCTCACGGCACTGCTCTCACTGTCGGCTACAAACAGGCAGCCCCAGGGGCCCTCGGAGGCCAGAGCGAGCCCGGAAGGCTGGGCGAAGCCCGCCTTGTGCGGATACGCATTATTTCGATTCTCTTCATTTCCGCTTCCAGCGAACCGGAGGCAGGTTCCTTTTTTTAACTCACTGAAAGAGAAAGACAAGATCGACATTGTTATATTGTATCCAATTCAATTATTAAACAAATGAATGTAAATGAGGAAATAAATGGTGATAAGCATTGTAAAAATAAAAATCTAGTGATCTTGGCTCAGTTAGATTGTGCAAGTCAGATTCCACTGCAGTTTTTCTAATCATTAACTTATTTATCTATGGTGTAGGGACCTTTCTACTTTTTTTGGCATACTCAGACTGTGTATTGGAGAGAACGGCCAGTTATTATATGTAGCAGTCACGAATAATCATCAAATTAAAGTGATGGGTTTAGAAACAAAAATGGTCAAATAGGAAATCCCTGGCAAGGTCAGAATTATAATACGGATCGTATCATTGATGGGACAGAGTTTTTTTCCTCCAAATATGCAGAGATAGGTACAGCTAGATCCTAATTTAAGCTACTTCTCAGCTTCATGTAATATTAGGTTCTGAAAGGGAATTAAAAAGATTATCAGAGGATCCAAGATGTGGTGTAGTAGGTGGGAGCTACACTCTCCTCCTCCCAGGACCAAAGTGGAATTACAGCTAAATTATAGATCATCCTGAATAACCAACTGAAGAGCAGCTGAAGAGGAGGCATATAACCAAGGATTGACAGAAGACGCCACGTTGAGACTGGCAGAAAGGATAGAGATGTGAACAGGGTCCACCCACTCTCCCATGGGCAGTGGCTAAGGTTCCAGCAGGCTGTCTCACATGTGGGGGTTCTACCTGAGAAGCATGGGGTCTAACTCCCAAGTCAGGCTCCACCTCCTGGAGCATCAGAGCCAGGAAGAGGTGCTCACATAACATCTGGCTGTGAAAAGAAAGAAATGGCTAGAGACACAAAGCCAGAGAGGAATAAAATTTCTTTGCAGCCACTCACCCTAGGCTCTGGCAGAGGGAGTGTGAGCAGAGTCTGGGATTGTGGCTCTGGGGGGAGAGGTGGAGAGTCAGCTGCCAGGATCCCTGTGCTGAGCCATTCACCTACGCTGCAGACTCCTCTCTTAGGTGGAGCACACCCCTCCTTATGGAATCAGCATAGGGGAAAGCAACAGCCCCCTTTCACCCTCTAGATCTCCTCTCACCCTACCACGTAGTGTTACATCCTGCTGAGGGGTACAGCCAGAGGCCCCTTCAGTGACTCGAGCCTAACAGGCAGCTGGCAGAGATGGATCTCAGGGTGCTTTGGGACTTTTGCTGAACTGCTCTGGGTCTGGGCTGATGAAAGCTGTCCTTGGTACGCAGTTTAGTCCTTCCCATGTACACCCAAGCCCAGAAGAGGCAGCCACAAACTGGATTGCTGTTAGCTCCGAACAGGTCGCCCAGGGCCAGTCACAGGCAGCATCTGACGTTGGTCTACACCATAGCTCCTCCCAAGAGGCCCCAAACCAACACACCCAGTGGCCAGTTTCAGACAACAACAGAGAATGATCCAATAAGCTTCACAAGCAACATATACAAAGGAAGATCTCAGCAGGCATCAAACCCTGCTCAGGCGAATTGTTTTGTGCGGTCAGCACCTGCGTGGCATCTTGTATACCGTCGTTGGGGGTGACCCTCACAGTTGGCCAGCTGGAGGGTTGACTCCACAGATGAATGAGCCAATAGAAACCAAGATCAATTACGGCAGGAGGGCTCACATAACCCACACAAAGGACACTCCCAGGGCACCCAGCTCAAGTGACCAAGGGGACTATACAGAACAAAAACACATCCAAAATGAGGAGATAAAGAAACAGGCCCCAAATGAAAGAACAGGAGAAATCTCCAGAAAAAGACCTAAAGAAATGGAGATAAGCAATTTATTAGCTATAGTGTTCAAAAGTAATGGCTGTAAGGAGGTTTAACAGCATGAAAAAGGACCAGTCAAAATGAAGAATACACTGGAAGGAATAAATAGGTTGGATGAAGCAGAGGATCAAATCAGCGACTTGGAAGACAAGGTAGAAAAAAGTCCAATCAGCAGCAAAAAGAAAAAAGAATTTTAAAAAAATGAGGATAGTTTAAGGGACCTTTGGGACAACATGAAGTGCAACTACATCCACATCACAGGGATACCAGAAAGAGAAGAGAGCAAGGGATTGAGAACCTTTTTGAAGAAATAATAAAACACTTACCTAGCCTGGTGAAGGAAAAAGACACACAGGTCTATGAAGTAGAGAGAGTTCCAAACAAGATGGACCCAAAGAAGCCCACACCAAGACACATCATAATTAAAATGGCAAAGATTAAAGACAAAGAATCTTAAAAGCCACAAGAGAAAGACAGTTAACTACAAGGGAGCTCTCATAAGACTGTCAGCTGATTTTTCAAACATTTCAGGCAAGAAGGGATTGCCATGAAATATTAAAAATAATGAAAAGCAAGGACTTACAACCCAGACTACTTTACCAAGCAAGGTTATCATTTAAAATTGAAGGAGAAACAAAGAGCATCCCAAACAAGAAAAAAAATAAAGGAGTTTGTTACCACCAAAACAGTATTACAAGAAATGTTAAAGGGCCTGTTTTAAAAAGAAGAACAAACAGGAACATAGTTAAAAATATTATTTGGCTCTTGATAGTTTAAAGCTTAAATTTCCAAGAAAAATGTTTTGTTTTCTTGTACACAGTAGAGACTAGCAAAATAAATAGAAAGAAAACTTTTGAAAGATAATTAGATCAAGCATTATCTATTTTAAGAAACAGATATAGGATGATTATGCATGCTCTTTAACTAATCAATTATACAAATCAATTTCTTCTATACATTAGGGAAATTTCTACATAAAGGATTACTGCAATGATTCCTTTTGTAAGTTTATGCCAGAGAGACTATAAGGAATATTTGGTTGTATCTTGTATGGAGGAAAGGGTTGAAGCTGACTTAGAAGCAAAATAACAAAAGACTATATGCATATCACATCCAAATATGGCACAACATGCAAAAGTCCAAAAGTTGATATGCTCAGTTAGGCAGGGAGCAGAGGACAGAGGTAAAGGGATACAGAATGTATAAAATATGGTCACTTATTCAAAGACCTTGTAAAAATATTCTAGTCAGAGAAATAGAGGTAATAACATGTCAGACAAATATGTTAAAAGATAATTACTAAGGAGTCTTAATCTAAAAAAGGAGTTCCCTTAGGTATATAAGACATAGAAAGAGTAGGGAGAAAGAGTAATTTCTATAATGTTAGGAATCAGTACCACTTGTAGTTCTGTAATAAAGATAAGCATCCTTAAAATTATGATACAGGTCAATGTGATCTGGTGGACATTTTCCTATTAAGAATGAGAGTGCCCACTCTACTTATTTTGAAATTTAGTCCACTCTTGACCATCTAGGTCCAATACAGCCATCTCTTAGAACATTCTGGTCATCTCTCATTTCGTTTTATAATTATGTCCACGTGAAATGCTACTGGTCACTCCACTGTTCAGGCTACACTGTCATCTCCTGCCTGGATAGTAACAATAGCCGCCTCACTGATATCTGTGTCTCTACTCTTGTCTCTCTCCAAATGCTAGCTGTGTTCTTTCAAAAACACAAATCTTATGTCACTTCCCAGCATAAAATTTTCTAGAAAGGCATGGAGAATAATGTTCAAATCTTTTAAAAGGGCTCACAAGGAACTTTGTGATCTGGCTTCTACTGACAACTCCAGAGTCAATTCTTGCCTGGAAAACCCAGTCTAACTGGGCTCCCAGTCTAACTCCTACTCCTCTATCAGGTTTTAATTTAGTAGTTTCTTCCAGGAAGCCTTCCTTGATGGATTTGAGGTGTCCTTATTTACCTAAGGGACAACTTAATGTAAAGGACTACTGCAGTGCTTCCTTTCACACACAGCACCTGTACTTCCCAACTATGTTTTGTTTGCTAATCTGATTCTTCCTCTGCAAGCCCACGGAGGACAGCACCCACATTTTCTAATTTTATTCTTCATTAGTGAACATATTTCATCCCTCTTGCCTAGCATGTAGTATGTTTAATAAACAGCTGTTAGATGATTAATGAATGAATGAATGAGCTCTAGACGGTGGCTGCCATGTCAGCCTGCGTGGCAGAGCAGCGCTCCCCGCGAACCTATATGGGTGGGTGAGCAAGAAAACAAACCTTGTCTTAATCCACCACGCATCTGAGCTGTTTGTTAGGGCAGTGTATGTATATCCTGACATACCCTGACGAGTACAGTAAGTGCTGAAAGGGTGGAGGCTTGGGAAAGGGAATTCTGTGAACTCCAAGTTGTGCAGTTTACCCAAAAAGAGGTGTTGCCACTTACTTTTTCTTTAGGAGTCGGCTGCAGTCCAGCAGAAGCGCCCATATCTGATGAGTCCCCGCCATGGCTATCCAGAGGATGTCATCTCTTTGCGCCTCTAAATCTTTACAAAAATAAATAGGAAATATTATATACATATTTGGTTCATACAAAAACACCAATTTTTTGAGAAAGTTAAGGGAAGACAGCAAGATATTTATAAATCATCTGATAGAAAAAAAAATACAGCAATGTTTCAAGTTGTTTTTGAAAATTTTCTATTTCCCTTTTCAAAGATATACTTCTTTAGACTTATAAATTTACCTGTAAGTTCATGGAAAGTCTAAGTATTCTTAATAGTAATATGTTCCTGCATCTGTGGGCACAATGTTTCTAAACATTTGATTTTTTATTTTATGTGATAAAAGAAATGGGTTGACACACACTTTACAAAGAAACTGGCAGTCAAATACCTAGCACTAACCACCTAAATTATATACTTGGTAACAGGCTCTTTGAACAATTTCTCATGAAGAAACTGTCTCTTTTAATAGCTTAAGAAATGTGTATTTCTGGCATAGTACCAGTTTTTAGACTTAGATATACACCACAGCTGCAATTAAATATCAACTGCTTCATTTGTTAGGAAATTTTTTCAAAAAGATATAGCTGATATGCAAAAAAGCTAAGAGTACAATATATTACAATATAGCTGTTTATGAAAATTAGTAAGAAATGTTTGCTAAAAATAAATAATTAAAATGAATAAATAATAGTTGTAAAAACTAATTTACAACCTATTACAATGCGACAAGGCTCTATTTCTCAAATTAATTTTATTAAAATATTCAAGTATTTTAATTTTAGATGTATTCTGAGGTTACTTTTACATGTATCTGAGACATTTTAACTAAAATAACTTGTTTATGCATACACTCTAAGAAATATTTTAGCAAGGCTATTTTATGTATATTTTCTTTAACTTCAAGTAGTTTGTATTCAAAAGGAACTTTTCTTCCTTAACTTGCATTACTTTAAAGTGTCTTTCAATTTAACAGCAACAGCAACAACAAAAAAATGAAGATGGTTCTCAAACTGTGGTTGCTAAGCACTTTACAGAGGTTATCATTTAAGTTTTCTCAAAGCCCCAGCAGACAGGTAGAGCCATTAGGTCCTTTTTACAGATGAAGAAACTGAGGATTAGAGAGGTTAGGTAACTTGACAGAATCACAGAGCTGGTAAATGAAGGAAGGAATCTGAACCCAGGCAGTCCAACAGAAAAAATCTATTTCATGTGCTTTTTTTCTCTGTGTTCTTAACTGCTATCCTATAAAATATAAAGGAAAATAGTTTATTTCAATTTAATTTTTCATAGTCAAATATTTTTATAAACATAAATTGTATTAAAAGTGACAATGGCTTCCATTTATTCTGAGCACTCAGTCTCTGTTTAGTTATTTTAAAACTAAATCAAAACTTTTCGTAATTATTTTACTTTGCCCCTTCCATGTGAGGACAAAGTGGGAAGGTGACTATGAGCCAAAAGGGAGCTCTTCCTGGAAACCAGTCATGCTGGCACATTGACCTTAGACTTCTAGCCTTCAGAACTGTGAGAAAATAAATTTCTGCCGTTTAAACAACCCAGTCTGTGGTATTTAGTTATGGTAGCCTGAGCTAAGACATTCCTAGAGAACAGAAATGAGATGAGGAAATCTGCTACAGACACTTATTTAGTATCATATAGAGGTCCTAATACGTACAACAAGAAAAAGAACCAAAAAGTATGAAGATCAGAAATAAAACTATAATCATGACATGATAACAGGCTTTGAAAGCCGCTACCCTGCCAAAAAAGAGCTGTGCTGTGGTATGTACGGGAAAGACCAAGTCAGGTCTCCATTACCTAGTTCTCCCAGCAGGCCAGTCTAGTTCCACTAGGGTCTACCGTGTGGGGACAAAAGCTTTAGCATCTTGGTCTCTGCAACCTTATTTCCTTTGAAAGCTTAAGGAATGAGAAAAAGTGACCAGGCTGTGTCAGGTCAGGGGTCAGGTGTTTGGGATTCCACATGGCAATTAACGCTGGCGGTGGCAGCGAGAATGGTAACCGCCCAGAACACTTCCCATGTTTAAGGTGCTGAGATAATAAACATTTTACACAAAGTATTTCCTTTAGTAATTTAATATTTCCTGCCAAGCTCAGGAAGTCTAGTATCATCTCTATTTTATTTTTTTAAAAAATGAAATTCAATGGAGTTAAGTAATTCATTGAAATTCACATAGCTAAACCTTGAATAGTAATACACTAGTAAGTCTGATTGCAGATTATCAGTGTTCTCATCAAAACGAAGGAATACAGAAGTGAGCCCATGCTCCTCTGGCCAATTCGTGCTTGACCTGATCTCTTCTCCCTCCCTTCTGCCCCTGCCCCATGGATTCGGCTCTGGCTTCAAGTATCCAACTGCACTATCAAGTGCGATCAGAGATACCAATCTGATCAAGTAAACCAGGCTTTCTGCTCCAGGTTCACTCCGTATGCCCTTCTCTCCCTATAGCTTCTGGCTGACCAATCTTTTACAAGTAGCTTTTCCAGTCCTTTGCCTTTCCGTTTTTGGTTTGGTTCAGCTTGTCAACATCTCTTTGTGACTTTTATGATGAGACTCCATTCTTACCACAGACAATGATAATGACATTTACATATTAAACATTGTATGTTTGCCAAACACTCTTCTAAGTGCCTTCCATATATTCTCATAATTCTCACAATGAGCCTTTGATTTAGGTACTATCAGTAATTTCAATTTAGATGAGGAAATTGAGGCAAAAAGTCTAAAGTTACTTGTCCAAAGTCACACAACCACTAAGATGAGAAACGAATGAGAGCCAGGCGGTCTGGACCCAGCCCTAACCACCGTGCTATGCCGTCTTTCAAGAAGTGTTTCCCTGCCTGATCATTTATTTCATTGAGGGCTGGAGAATTTGTTCTTATAAATAAAACAAGAGTTTTTTTAAAAAAGGTAGTCTTTTATAATGTCTATCAAACTAACACAAATCATAGTAATAATTTATATTCATCTAAACTCTAAAGCACAAAGTTGTATCACTAAGTATGGGTATTAGTTTAGTTCCTTCTAACATGCGTGCAACAATCATGAACATTTCAATTTTAAATTAAAAGTACACTCACCATCACTGACTTTCAACAATCGCAAATTAAAAATAAAAAAGGCTAATGCCAAAAGCTAAAAAGGTTTTGCGAGTGTTTTTAAAGGCAAAACCTTCATAATTATTGCATCAATAAAGGTTAATAAAAGTTTCAGAAACAAGAATTAAATCAGCAAATGAAATATAAAAATCAAAAAATGACCTGCAATCCAGCTTTTAAATATTCTGTGTTATTTCAAGCAACTATGATCAAAAGAGGCCACTAACTAGAACCCTCCATAGCATCTGTGACAGCGTCCATTAGTGTAAATAGTTTTTCTCCATAGTCTCTAAACCTCCTAGGAAGCAAAGCCTGAAGCCATTAGGAAAAAGCAGCAAAGCGCACTGCCCCCCAGGGCACAGGAAAGACCCATTTGAGAAATGGAAGGAGAGTAGATGGAAAAAATCTCTCTGCCTCTGGGGGCAGGGCAGGGAACTGTCTTTGGCCAAAGACTCCACAGTGACACCTAACAGAGGTCCCCACTGCAGGGAGAAAGGCAAGAACCTCTTCAAAACCACTCACAGATTCAAGGCAGAGTTCAGCTGCTGAAGAGAAAAGGAACAGAAACAATGGAAAAAAGCTCCCCACCTCCATTCCCGGACCAGCACACAGGGCGTCCCTAACTCGAGGCTGATTAGAACAGCTGACAGCACTCCCTCAGCTCCAGTGCAGCCCAGTACAGAACGACCAGCAGCAGTTTGCCCTCGCGGAGCTGGCAAGGGTGGAGAGAAGCGCTCAGGGGTTCAGGTGAGGAGCAGCACAACACTGTGGAAACCCCGCCTGCCTCCAGGCCCACAGCTGGAGGACTTCAGAAGCTATGCTGAGCGACAGAACTCCCGGCAATAACGAAACCCAAACCCGGCCCAGCGTCTGAATGCCCTGACTCAGCCCCCCACAGTAATTGCATAAATACTATCAATCTCAGCCTCTATCGTTCCATACCAGATGACTGGGCTTTAATTCAAATTGAAAAGACAAACACAAACTAAGCAAACAAAACAACACAACTAAAAACATCTCAAACCAAACAAACTCCAACAATAAATACTAGTATCTCAGCCCCTATAGTTTCACACAAGATGACTGAAATTTATATAAAAATGAAAGATAAGCTTTATAAAGCAAGCTAAATAAATAAGCAAACCACCATCCAAATGAAACAAAACAGAAAAAACCTCCCATCAAAACCAAACAAGAAAACATTTTCAAGAGACAATGCAATTAACAGAAACAGACTCAGAGATGACCTGAAATCTGGAACTATATGACATGGGCTTGAAATTACTACGCTTACTATGTTAAAGAATCCAAAGAAAAATGTGGCCCACCTGTCTAAGTAGGTGAAGAATTTAACCAGATAAATGGAATCTAAGAAATAGTAATATGGAAATGCCATAAAAAATATAAGATGGAATTTCTTTCAATACTCTTGTAGTTGACTAGACACAACTCAGGAAACAATGACCATAAAGGTAAGTCAATAAAAATGATCCATACTGAGCCCTGGCTGGTGTGGCTCAGTGGACTGAGCTCCGGCCTGCGAACCAAAGGGTCATGGGCTCCATCCCCGGTCAGGACCTGTGCCTGGGGTGCGGGGGAGGCTCCCAGCCGGCGGCGCATGAGAGGCAGCCACAATTGACATGCCTCCCCCTCTCTTTATCCCTCCCTTCTGCTCTCTCTAAAAATAAATAAAATGTTAAAAATAAATAAATAAGAGTAAAAGCCTCATTCATTAGAAAAAAACAAAAACTACCCACATTGAAACACAAAGAGGAAAAAAGGGGTAAAATAAGATTTTTTTCCTCTACCAATAAGGACATCAAACAACAGACTCAAGAATTCTAAGCAGATTAACTCCTAAACATTTAAGTCAAAATGCTGAAAACCAAAGAGAAAATCTTGAAGGCAGCCAGAAAAAACAA